TTTACATGATGGTCTAAGAGAACTTTTCATCTGAAGTTGTAATGGCCTTACTAGTCAGTTTATTCAGCAAATGCCTATTTATGTCATTGGCAAACATCAGTGTCTTACATCAGTCACAATAACTTATTGATCAGCAAACAATTCATAAGTTCTTTACAGTAAATTTGAACTATGCATGGCAAATTTGGACAAAATACCTATCTGAAGTACTTCTTAAGGCAGTGGCACCTTCTGCTTTATTATCATTAAAGTGTTCCCCATGGCAATAACTTCTTCCAAGAGGAATTTCAGGACTAGTTGCATTATCTATTGAAAAGCAATTTAATAGTTCCCATTCAGGCAAGATAGTTGTAAGACTAACACTGAAGTTTACTCCGAAGGCCATTTCAATCTTCCATAGATCTCAGGTTATTATATTACCTTCATTCTTTTCAAATCCACAGCATGAGAAAGAGAAGGAATGACATAAATTGGATGTTCAGAGGGCTCTGAAGATAGACATCAGAAAGACTCAAGAGAAAGAAAAGATCTCAGCATTATTTGTTCTTTTCCATCCTAAAGTAAAAGAGAACAAAGCATCAAAGATCAGTAGTGAGATGGCTCAAAGCCAGTACTGTATATCGTATCTTATAAAGTGAATGGGTCGGCACCACCAAAAGGTCTAAAGTCTCAATATATAGTCTGAAGTCATTAATGTTGTGGCCAGAAAGATTTTTAATCTGTAGGAAAAAAATATGGAGAATTGCATGCATTTACTATACTAGTATTAGGCACTATAGTTTTTATCTACAGGAGGCATTTATGAAGCTTTCTATGGTCTTTGGGGACTCAGTTGTGGAAAATGGGTGGAATTAGTGTGTTTCATTTACACATTCTAGATCTGGGTCCTGTATACTGTGTAGGCCCTCACCTGGACAATTGAATTTATCATTTCTCTGTAATGGGAAAAAAAATTACAAGACAAACCAACATAGTTTTGTAGGTATATATGTACACACACACATGCACATCTTGAAGGTGTTGGGATATTTTGCTGATATTCACTAGAAAAGAATCCTAGAATTTCTACCCCCAGGCTCAAGCTTAAAGATTAACATTTTGACATTTCTCTGAATACAACAGGAAGTGTTCAGCAAGGTATTGTCGTAGATGCAAGTTAGAGATGGGTATTAACTACCATTCGTCTGCTTCCCATTAGTCTCACCCATCAGTTAATGGTCATTTCAGGTCTCCACTGTGATAACTGATCATCAGGGATATTCATTTACTGTAATTACAGTGGAAAGCTATAATTTCAGAATTTTGAGTCCAAGTGGGTAGACTTTTTGCCAGCATGTGACTTGTGTTATGTGATTTTTATTTGTACCAGTATGAACCACAGAATCATAGATGTTAAAAGGAAAAAACTTCTTCGATCTTTGAACCGTTTTCTCTGCCACTGCTGCACTAAGACCTTTCTGTATAAAATATGGATGGATAAAGTAAGAGATACAGATATTTAGTGATTATGAAAATTCCTGTTTGGATATTCTTGAGGACGCAGCTATACAAGACGTTTTACTGCATAGCAGACTAATTTGCAGTAAAGCATTACCATCTACGTGTGCAGTGCAGTTAGGGTGCAGTAGACTAATTTACTGCACTGCTGGATAGTCCCATCTGATACAAGTGTTATCCAGCAGTGCAGTAAATTACTGCACTTAAATGCACATGTAAACAGTGACATCACAATTAATTTATGCCAGCTCAAACTGAGCCAGAATATATTTAGTCGCATCAATTGCATGTGTAGACATGCCCAGTGTGTATCTGACTACACATTTTTTTTCTTTTCTTTCATAGTTCCCTGACCTTCTTTCTTTCCTTTTCCCATTTTCCCTAGTATGTGCCACCAACTCTTTTTACATGGTCTTGCTGTGACCTAAGGGCAAATGTTCTTTTTTTAAAACAATGCTTTCAGTTCTTTGCATTGCATTTCTCTTTTGGGGTTTAAGTCCATTATACGTTATAAAAAAATTGTTTGTTGTAGGATTTGGTTATAGTGTGATCATGCACAATATGGTTTAGATAGTGTAGTCCTCTTGTATAGATTACATTGGACTGTGTTTTCATTGTTTTTCCCAAGTTATACAGTTCAATGATGGTGCATTTGCAAATAGATTCCTGTATGGCTTTCCCACAAATATGTAGAGTTGTTATCCCTGTAATTTAGCTGAAGGACTAAATGAACCTTTCCCATGGAAAAATGTAAGATGAAAAAATCTGTATAAGAGGGGGGAAAATTTGCAGCTTCTTTAGAGACAGAGAACCTACAAACCCAAGGATCTTGTGAAAAATCAGGTTCCTTCCATGTATATCCTGGTGCATCCCATGGAAGGACTTCTCATCTGCTGTGCTTCACCAGGGGCCATCCAGCTATTACATTGTCCCTTACCTCACGAGCCTTGTATCTCCTGCACGTATGAAGTTAGCTGTAGGCACTGATGGAAAGGTAATACTGCCTGAATCACCATTAACTTTTGTCAGTTTTTCACTGTCTTCAGTGAAAATATACAATGTGCAGGAGTCAGCCCCAAATCCTCCCAACAGCCTTGTGTTAGCAGAGGAGGGCATCTGTAGGTCCCTGGGAAGTGTGCTATTGAGATTCTCCTCTCTTCTCTCTGTTGGTTTTATTTCCTCTTCCCTCTATCTCTCATTTAACGCCACACTGCACAACAGAGGGGAGCATCTGGCCCCAAGTAAACACCCAATAAAATAAATGGGGGAAGTTCACAGTTCCCTTGGTGCTATTGCATCACTTTGTCTGTGGACTCAACAAGATAACCATGCGTCAATTTACATTGTCCAAGCTATCTTCACAACCAGAAGTGCTAGAAACCTTATTTTAATAAAAGCTTAGATTCTGGAGAATACAGTAAAATCTCTCTAAAGACCCTAAATCAGCAATTCCATCTGTGTTTCTGCAAATGTAGAGGAACAATGTCCCAGCTGATTATGCAAACAGAATGAAAATAGTTATTTTAAAAGTGCATAAAATCAATGCTTTGGGGAAAACAAGTCAACTGTGTTTATACTCTCAGCGCATAGCAGACATTTTGTTTCTTTGTCTAAGAAATCATAAGGAAGCAAAGAGTGTATGTGAAGTAAAACACCAGATCATACACTGTAACAGAGGGAACTGGAACATCAGATGCCTGAGTGAGGCTTAGAGCATTTTAGGTTTCTTTTGAAGGAACATAAATTATATTGAGGTTGAGATATTTTTACATTGTTTGGAGTCAAAGTCAAATATTCTCAGTGTTGAGGGAATTGCTGCACAGCCTGTCTCTGGTAATGAGAAGTATATGACTAAATCCACGTCTATGGTGCTGAAAATTCCCCCTAATTGCTGAACCCTTTGGAGTGTTGGGATTATTTGCAAGTGTCCGTTTGAAGGGTTGTGTATATAAATATGTATAAACATACTTCTCATGCATTTAAGATGCATTGCTTCCATGCATATCATTCAAAGAAATGGGGAATAGAAGTATCTGGGAAATACATAGGGCTGCATATTTACCATATGTGGACTGTAGGTTAGATTGAATTAAACTTCATGTTTCTGCAAATGCTGTGTTGTTTATGAAGTGTTCCACTAGAAGATGTTTAACCCTCTCCTCCCCCAATTGCGTTATGCATAATGGTCCTATTTGTTCATCGAATGAGGCAAACATGGGGATGGGAAACTCAGTGAGTTTCACAGTGTTTACTAGTCCTCTCAGGACTATCACACTGAAATGGCAGAATACCTGGCCACTAACCAAGCAGGTATCCTAAGACCATTCAACTCGGAGGAGCAACAGAATCAAGACCACCTATTTAGAAAACAAGTGGACTGTGCTGTTTCCTTGAATGCATGCCTCCCCCTACTGTCATGGCTCCATGCAGTTCTTAGAATCACCTACACAAGGAATTTACCCTTTGGCATTATAAGCTTGGCAGACATGCTGGGTAGAGTCTGATCAAGAATAGTTCTTTGGTGGATTTCTGCTTGGAAATTCACCCATAGTGGAAGTAAGGCTATTGCTTGGAGTACTCCATTTGTTTCCTTTCGTTTGTGGTTAAGAGGAAGAGCCTGAGTAGAGTGCATATGCTTATCAGGCTCATTTTACACCCTCTGCCCCATGTAGAGGGAATGGTATATCCATTTTTCATTCATTGTTGCAGGTACAGCCAGCTAATATTTTGGATATTGGAAAAAGCAGTGAAATACAATTGCAGAGATTTTTAACATTGATATTGAAAAACCGTGGAAATGGGTGTTATTTTTGCTGTAATAATTACAGTATACAGTGGACTCTTAAACATAATTTGTTATAAGTTTTTCATAAATATGTACAAAATATGCATGAGCCTGTATGTTGATATGCCTGTTTGAAGCTATGTTTTTGTTGTTTGATTCTGTCAACTCTTTGGTTACTCTGATTTCAGGCATTTGGAGGAGATTATTTGTCTAATTTCTATCAGCATTATATCTCAGACGAGAGAAAGAAAATGAATTTTCTGTATGAAACTGTAAGAAACTTTGAATGACAGGGTACATTATGTTATTTGGCCCTTGATTACTATTATGCAAGTACAGTGCCACACAGTAAGGTTATTAAATATGAGCAAAGATAATAGCAGACTTGCAGAGATTAAAGCCATGTAAGCTTTCAACAAAAGGTTACATAAAAACTCTTCTAAAAATTCTAATCTTAATGGTATTAAGAATTATTATTATTACTGTATCCATGGACTCTGAACTGGTTTGATTCAGTTAATCTTTCTCCTCCTCTTCCTACAGGAGTGCATGTATGTATATAAATGTTTATACATATATGTATGAAAAAGTATTTGATTTAGTTCTACTGAATGGTTAGTGTTTTAAGGCATGTATGACTTGGGCATTTCTTATGTGAAGGAAAAAGAAAGGCTATGTATGATGTATTGAGTTGTGTATGCCTTACTATTTCCGTTAGTGTGACATCTTGTAAAACCCAGTACTTGGACTCAGCTATACTCCAGGTCCCAGGTGAGCAGATGGACAGAGGGGGAAAAAGAATGGTAAGATTGAATTTGGGTAATAATAGAAATTCTGGCATTTTAAAGCTCATGCAGCTGTCACTTAAACCCCTTTATTGTCAAATTCATTTGTCTGATCCTTACCACTGTGTAGAACAGCAAAATACACTTGTAGGACACTGTTAAAAGATGGATTCTGATACAGATTTGCTTTATAAATCTACATGCAATGGTAATGCTGGTTAATTTCAGGCCATCATGCTATGACATGAATGATGCCCCAGGATACTGTAACAGTTCTCATTTCCAATGGAAATAATGCCTCTGGGGACCTCAGGCTCTCATGTGAGAAAGACTAGAAGTGTTTGTAATGTATTATGGGCCAAACTCATTGCTGACATAAATGATTTCAGCTGTTTGTAGTCTGAGATTGGGGTGGATGTTTTTCTACCCAGTGGTTTACCAGTGGAAAAAAAGCAGGTAGACCTGGATATATGCTTAGATTAAAACTCTTCTTGGAAGACCCCCCACCCCCACCCCCCAATGTAACCCTCAGCTGACATTCCTTCTTCCGTGCCTCATCTGGAAGCGAAGTCATTTTGTCAGTCCCTTTCCTTTCCCTATATAAATAGTAATACACCCTGCTGTGAGCCATTGTTGATCGTTGGGCGCACTCTAGTTACAGCACAAGAAAGATCATTAGCCATGGTTATACATAAATGGGCCAAATCACTTTGGAATACATTAAAGATTAGATTATCAAAAGAGCTAAGCACCACTCAGTTCCTATCTGACCACTTCATTTTAATACTGACTGAGATTTGTTGCTTCAGATAAGTAACATCAGCGAAAGAGGGTAGCTTTTGTTTGTTGTTTTAGAAAGTTTCAGTAAGAGGTATGAGTAGGTATTGATCAGCTAAAAGAAAAGGTCTCCACCACACATGGATTGCTTTCTCTTCTCCAGAAAAGTTGATATAGAGGCATGACTTCTGTCATTCCTTCACTGGTAAAATGCTAAGGTAGTCAGTTATGTGGGTTTAGAATCAACCAAAAGAGGCTGAAAATTCCAGTTTTGAACGGAAAAATGGGAATTTGACTCTTATAGCGTCATGCTAATTTATTACAGTTATTTCTGAAGGAAAAACAGCATCCAGCCTTATGAAGTAAACTATTATAATTTATTCCTGATTACATTTCTCATAATTCCCTCTAATCAAATATATGTGCATTTTCTTAATTTTCCATTTGTTTTGCTGCAAGGATAACTTCTATAGAGATTTGAGTGTGAATAAGTTGCTCAGAATATCAAGTAAAAATGTGTGAGGAGTTGCACTGCGTATTATTTTACAGAGATGAAGCAAAGTGATTAAAAGTCATTCTGTCCAGCTTAAAAACACAAGTATCAGTGCAAGATTAACTGGCACCCATCTGCTCAGCACCTGAACCTTGGTGAAGTTTGTGTATTGTTTCAGATTTTGTGCTTATTCCTTTCTTTATAACATGCTAATCCAGAAGCCTAGATCTCTGCATTCCTGAATTAGGGAGAAGTTCTGCTCCAGTTCCAGATATAAACTGTGAAGCTTAGGCCAGTCTTTAGTTTAAAAAGTTTTCTTCACAGAACACAGCAGTGAATTTTCCTCTAATGTAGTTGCCCCAGATTGGAACTCTTGCTGTGCAATAAAGAGTCCACGACTAATACAAAGTCTACTGTACATTTTTCTCCCAATGGTAGAGTCACCGTTTCTTCAGACGTGTTTGTTTTCATTGTTGTTCTTTAAGAACAATGACACCATTCTACTGAACAGCAAGGAAAGTTACCTTATACCTCTTTGAAATGGTATACCCTTTGTTTCAATAATTTCTGAAGTTGTTCTACAGCTTTGTGCAGCAGAGCTGTGGAATTCAACACTGCATACCCTAAAGCTTATAACTGGGCTGCCTCAGACATGATACATATAATCATCCAAGCCATTTGACCCCTATATTGTTACATGTGGTCAGGTAGGAGCAATGCAAGTTTCAGGTGACCCTATCATGTGACTGAGATCAGAGGTCAGCAACTCCTAACTGTTCAGCTGTCAAGGTAGCCCATTCATCACCATTGTTATATAATTGACATGCTGACAAATAGACCTGGGTATAAAATTGTTCTCAGCATTCTACCTGATGGCCTTAAACCTTAATTGGTGGCCATAAATTTTCACATTAACAACTACTGTGACCAGACAAATGTCTGGAACAGAAGGAAGGATAAAATTAGACATAACATAATTTGTTAAATTGTAATGGACACCCACCTAGTTAAGTGGATAAATGCTTTTTCCTTCGAAGGCCTCCCACAGCCCTACTGTATCACGTCAGGCATTTTTATCTTCACACTTTTTAATTTACCAAGAAGGTAATATATAATGCACATCCATTTCTTTTACTGACAGGTGTGCCTCTTCGTATACTTTCTGGACATCTTTTCCCACCACCCTAGCCTTGATCAAAAGTGAAGGAGATTATCCACTGCCAAACTGAGTCTATACTTACAAGCAAAACTCTCCACGTTTTTTACCAAGTAAAGCTACTTGTTTAGTAAATCAGATTTAAGTTTCTTTCTTCAGCAATATAAAAACTATAACTCATCATATATTGTAATTCTGAGTGATATCATCTGACTCAGATGAAATGCAACTCTAATAGCTTCATCATTGTAGGAAGTTAAGATGTTCCCAGGTTTGTTCGTTTTTTGTTGTTATTTTTTGGTTTGGGATTTTTTTTTGGAGGGTTTTTGTGTTTGTTTGTTTGT